CTCTACCACTGAGCCACCTTCCCAGCCCCATGTGTGCCAATTTTTTATTCACTTGAATTAATTATACAAGGAGGATTTCATTGTTACATTTCCATACATGCTTATCATATATTTCAGTCAATCTTACTCCTTCTATCACTTTTCCTCCTCCCTTCCCTAAACCATTCAACAGATTTTACTGTTCTATATTCAGAGATGCAAACAATTTGTTTCAACTGTATTCAACCTCTTTCATCTTCCTCATAATCCCAACCCCCTCCCCCTGAGACTCACCTCCGAACAGAGCCTGTTGCTCCTCCCTGCCCTCCCATCTCCCTACAACTTTCACTGAGGTTCTTTATGCTGTTTTCACATAGACTTGCATAGTATTGCAATTATTCACCCTCTAACTTTTTTCCCCTTCCTTATCTCCTTCTAAGTAGTCCTCTGGTTAAATTCATGTTCTGTGGTTATCCATATAATATATAATATAATTTGTATATATATATACACAAGTGTATATGCCTATGAATATATGTGTCTTTTTGGTCTACATATGAGTGAAAACATATGATATTTTGTTTTTTGCGCTTGTCATGTTTCACTCAATATGCTATTCTGAAATTGCATGACATTTTCCTGTCAATGAAATGATTTCATTTTTCTTTCTGTCCATGTTATATTCCACAGTGTGTGTATATATATATATATATATATATATACATGTATGCACATACACACACACACATAGACACACATACACATATATGTCTCACATGTTTGTTAGCCATTCATTGCTGGCACCTTGACTGATCCCATTATTTGGCTATTGTGAAAAGAGCTGTGGTAAACAGTTCTGTGATAGAATTCTCTTTGGAACATAAATCAGAGTGGACTGTGACCTGCCATCTGCACTGGGTCAACAGCTCCTCTCAGGCATCATGTCCTTGGCCCTGTCCTCAGCCTTGTGGGCTGGGGTGGGTTCTGGCTCTCAGGTGATAAACTCATCTTTACAAGTTCAGAAAGGCTGTAGCTGAATTTTTTTTTGCAGAGAAATATAATCTAGGGCTGGGAATGTAGCTCAGTGATAGAGTCCTTGCCTAGCATGCATGAGGCCCTGAGTTCAATTCCTCAGTACCACATATACAGAAAAAGCCAGAAGTAGCTCTGTGACTCAAGTGGTAGAGTGCTAGCATCGAGCACAGAGAGGCTCAGGGACAGAGCCCAGGCCCTGAGTTCAATCCCCAGGACTGGCAAAGAAAAAAAAAAAGAAAAGAAAAGAAAGAAGAGAAAAAGAAATATAATCTAAGCCAGGCGCCGGTGGCTCAGGCCTGTAATCCTCGCTACTGAGGAGGCTGAGATCTGAGGATCACGGTTCAAAGCTAGCTCGGGCAGGGAAGTCCATGAAACTCTTATCTCCAATAAAACACTAGAAAACTGGAAGTGGTGCCATGGCTCAAGCGGTAGAGTGCTCGCCTTGAGCTGATGAGCACAGGGACAGTGCCCAGGCCCAGAGTTCAAGCCCCACAACTGACAAAAAAAAAAAGAAAGGAAGAAAAAGAAAGAAAGAAAGAAAAAAGAAAGAAATATATAATCTAGTAGGGAAAGAGAGGTTGTAGTCCCATCTTCTGAGTATTTCTCCCAAGACACACCCCTCCCGCTTTCAACAAGTTTTTAGGCTCATCAGCATGATGATTAATAAAATTAAGGTGAGGGGGGGAGGGGAAGGGTTGGTGGGGGGGGAGGGGGGAGGCTGGAAAGGGATGTGAAGGGTAAACAAAGGAGGAGGCTGCAATGCTTGGTAAGAAATGTATGCATTATCCTGCCCATGTAATTGTAACCCCTCTGTACAGTATGTTCACAAATAAAATAAAATTAAATAAAAAAAAATAATAAAATTAAGGTGAAAAGATACTGGAATGAGCAATGTGAAAGAGAGACAGAAAAAATGGAAATGGTGGTTCCTTTGGAAAGTACCAGTTGACCCACTGGTAACCAAGGCAAAGTCTCAGCCTTGGAACACCTCCTACTTCCCCAATATGAGAACCTGATGATCCCCCTGACACTGAACATCTTTGACCTCTCCTTGGTACCATGGCTCAAGACAAAGATGCAAGCCAGCTGATTCTGTGTTCTCCACTGAAAGTTGGACATGACTTCGCCTTTCTCTCTCTCAGAGAGAAGAAAGAGAGAGAGAGAGGGAGGGAGGGAGGGAAAGAGAGAGAGAGAGAGTATGTGTGTGTGTGGCCTGGACCTTGAACTCAAGGCCTGGACACTGTCCCTGAGCACTTTTGCTCAAGGCTAGCATTCTATCACTTAAGCCACAGCTCTACTTCTGGCTTTTTGGTGGTTAATTGGAGATAAAAGTCTCATGGACTTTCCTGTCTGGGCTGGCTTTGAACCATGATCCTCAGCTCTCAGTTTCTTGACCCTTGTGTCAAGACTAGTAGCCTTGAATGAAAAAGCTAAGTGTCAGTATCCAGGCCTTGACTTCAAGCTCTAGTAAATGCTGAGAGACAGAGAGAGCAGACAGACAGAGACAGAGAGAGAATGAATAAGAGTCTCAGTTACATAGGTCCCACAAACAAAAAAGTGTCAACCTTCTGACTTTCTCTGTACCACAATGATTCCCTCCAAGGACTAAAATACTTGGATCACTGGACTCATCCCTTCAGTACCCCCTCAACACTTCCCAGGTGCTTTATGTTCTCTTCAACTTAGACTGTGTGGCAGAGAGAATTCTGATTGCTGGAAGTTCAGCAGCAGGAGACAGTGTTGAGGAACAGAGCAGAGAAGGTGTTACAAACGAAAGAAAAGAAGGAAGGAAGGAAAAAAGGGAGGATGGAAGGAAGGAAGCAAGCAAGCAAAGGAGGGAGGGAAGGAGGGAAAGATAAGAGATCCAGCTAACAGAGATGGGAGCAGGTAAAGTTGGTCATCAGCCTTGGAAGTAGGAGACTGGTTCCATTTGCAGGGTCCTGAAGGAAGAGTCTTTAGGCAGAGTGGCTTCCCCTTCCTCTTGCCTCCTGCCAGCTGTAGTCTCCAAATCCCACCCCTCTATCCACTTGGCTCCCCACTTCTGTCCCTGAATGTGTTGTTTAATTTGGAATGGAAAAGAGAAGCCTCTGTAGGTCATTCAAAGTCTAGGTTCCTATCTGAGCCCCACCACTGCGCATGCCTGATCCCTATGGCTCCACCCCTCTGCCCCAAGGCTTCTTTTTTTCCTAGTGAGCCTTTAGCTCATTCACAGACCAAGACCCTCTGGAGGGTAAGTAGGAGAACCATCTTGCACCCAAGTCTTGTTTAACCCTTGGCATTTCCATTTCCCAGCTGCGTAGAGCTGGAGCCTGGAGATGGCACAAGCTTTAGCTGTGGATGCCTTTATGCTTTTTTGCCTAGTTAGTGTATTGGTGACAGGCACAGGTGAAGGTGAGGCTGAGAGGGGGAAAACCATAGACAGAGAATGTCAACCGGGCCTCTCTCCTCATGGCCCCTGCATCCCTCCCAGTGGCCAGCCGTGGACACATTCCAGCCAGAGCCAGATATTTGCAGACCTCAGCCCAGAAGAGCTGACAGCTGTGATGGATTTTCTCACCCAGGAACTTGGACCAGGGCTGGTGGATGCAGCCCAGGCTCAGCCCTCTGACAACTGTGTCTTCTCAGTGGAGCTGCAGCTGCCCTCCAAGGCTGCAGCCTTGGCCCACCTGGACAGAGGGGGCCCCCCACCTGCTCGGGAAGCACTGGCCATCGTCTTCTTTGGTGGACAACGGCAGCCTAATGTGAGTGAGCTGGTTGTAGGGCCTCTGCCCCACCCCTCCTACATGCGGGATGTGACTGAGGAACATCATGGAGGCCCGTTGCCCTTTTACAGACGCCCTGTGCTGGAAAGAGAGTACTTGGACATACGCCAGATGATCTTTGACAGGGAGCTGCCTAAGGCTGCTGGGCTCCTCCATCACTGTTGCTTCTACAAACACCAGGGCCGAAACTTGTTGGCAATGAACACAGCCCCCCGTGGACTACAATCAGGGGACAGAGCTACCTGGTTTGGCCTCTACTACAAACTCTCAGGAGCTGGGTTTTTCCTGCACCCTGTGGGGCTGGAGCTGCTGGTAGACCACAAGGCCCTGGACCCTGCCCACTGGACCATCCAGAAGGTTTTCTATCAAGGCCGCTACTATGACAGCCTGGTCCAGCTAGAGGAGCAGTTTGAGGCAGGCCTGGTGAATGTGGTGCTGGTCCCAGACAATGGCACAGGTGCGTCCTGGTCCTTGAAGTCCCCGGTAGCCCCTGGTGCGGCTCCTCCTCTACAGTTCTACCCTCAAGGTCCTCGCTTCAGTGTCCAGGGGAGCCAAGTGTCCTCTCCATTGTGGACTTTCTCCTTTGGCCTGGGAGCTTTCAGTGGTCCGAGGATCTTTGACATCCGGTTCCAAGGAGAGAGAGTAGCCTATGAAGTGAGCGTCCAGGAGGCCTTGGCGGTGTATGGTGGGAATTCCCCTGTTGCTCTGCTGACTTGGTATATTGATGGTGCTTTTGGCTTGGGCCAGTTCTCTACGCCCTTGACTCGTGGGGTTGACTGCCCCTATGTGGCCACCTATGTGGACTGGCATTTCCTTTTGGAGTCCCAGACCCCCAAAACTCTACGTGATGCCTTTTGTGTGTTTGAACAGAACCAGGGTCTTCCACTGCGGCGACACCACTCAGAATTCGACTCTTACTATTTTGGGGGCCTTG